ATGGGTAGGATGGAATGGGATGGACTGTCCAATCTTTCCTGAACCTGATGGATACTGCTATAGATTACAGGCTTCAGTTGAGGGAGATAAAACTAAGCAGGGAGGCCAAGAATGGATTTGACCATAGAAATGGAATTGCTCTCTCACCTAGAGAAGGTCCAATCAGGACATCTATGAGGATTGTTTGGTCCTGGTACTGACCATGATATACTTGTGCAGTAGATAAAGAACCTGACTTGCCAGCATTTGGCATCAGGACTGAATGTACCCAGGGGTGGAGAATACCCATTCAATTATTCAAGGGACATTTTCAACAGTCAGTACTTTCTCTGTTAATTCATATGCACAATACTGATGGTTGAGCAAAAGAAAGTACTATATAGATAGTATTTGTGAGAAGTGCAGTGTTGATATAAGTGACCAAGTGCTGCATTGTTAGCTAGGGTTGGGAAGGAGGGTGGTGTCATCGTCATCTTTCATTCAACAAGCTGGGCAAGAATAAAGTAAACATATCCAGACTTGCAGAAAGACATCATCAGGGTTTCTGGTATCCACTTGCCCTAACATCTCTTGCCAAAATAGAAGGAGACCTATTGCAAATAACATCCCACTTGGCAGCAAATTTCTGTGCCAGTCAGTCTGCACACAGAGCCAACTCCCTTCCCGCTGCAATACCCTCTGTCCATGACACATGCCCACCTGCTGGCCCTTTCCATCTCCTGTGTGATGTCTTAATTCTTGCTTCAGTTCAAGCAAGGTCATTGGGATGGAGGTAGGAATTACTGGAGAAAATCTTATGGCCTGTTTCACACAAATCATGTATAATTATTATATTTTTGTAATCATTCCTTCTGGCTATAAAAGCTGTAAGTCCTTGAGGCAGAAGTACTTCTAGTTTCCTTTTTTCTTTCTTCTTTAATAGCAAGGACCAGATTTGCAGCTGATGTAAATTTTCAGAGCCCAGCTAAAGGCAACTGCACTATATTGGTTTCTACTAGCTAGAAAAGCAGTCCTGGAAAGCCCCTTCAGAGGTCATCCAGTCCAACTCTCTGCCAAAGGCAGGATCATCCCTATCAAAACCATACTATACAAATACATTGTCTAACCTAGTGGTGCCCAATCTTCTTGCCATGTGGGCCAGATGGGCAGTGGCTGGTCCATCTGTAGAGTGGGCCCAGCCATGGGCCTGATCTAATATGCAGGACAGGCATAGGAGAGCCCAATCCAGCTGCACAGAGGTAGGGCAGGGGAAAGTCCACACCAATCCAGCCACATGAAAGAGAGGGGGCATGGCCTAGCCCCAATCTGGCTGCGCAGGATTTGGCCCCGCAGGATTTGGCACCCGTGACACTTGTGGTCTAACCTATTAGTAAAACTACATAGTCAACCCCAAAACAGTCAAAAGACATAACACCCTAACCTGCCACAGGGAAGGCAGGGGGACAACAGTTGCCAGTGTCCTGCTGCTGGGAGGGTTCTTAAAATATGCTCAAGAGATACAAAGAGGGACACACCCTCACTATGGAGGAAGAGAAAAATCCCCACAGTCCATACATATCTGACAATGGGGCAAAATTGCTTCCTGACCCCAAATATGGTGATCAGTCTGACCCTGAGCAGAGGGGCAAGACCCTCTAGCCAAGAACCTCCAGGTTTAAGTCTAGGAGGAACATAGGCACACCCCATTCAAAATCCCATCTTGGTTACAGCCAACACCCAATTCTTCCAGGGAAGATGAAAAAACCCTCTGACATGTAGCAATAGGAAGGGAAAAGAATTTCTTCCAGCCCCCCTGTGGCAACCAATACATCTCAGAAGTATGAGAAATACCTATAGTAGAGCATAGGCATAATTACTCCTAGATAAGCCCTGACCTCTTAGATTCATAGATGTTAGGGTCGGAAGGGACCTCAATAGATCATCGAGTCTGACCCCCTGCATAAGCAGGAAAGAG